TTTATACCAATAATCTATCAGAGAACATATCAAGATAATTTCATGAACAAAAACTGTATGTTCCTTTTTTCTTTTGTCATGTGACTGAAAATCATTTTAACTCATTAACGCTAATTATCTCAACAGTTCAATTTTAAATTCACCAGGAAGCTACTAAATAACAAACTGAAATCCAAATATCTTCAAAACGTATTTTAAGATGCACAGAAACAGCAATATCTTTCTTCAGGTTTGTCTTTACCAGTGCACAACTTTCAAATAAACTGATGACAACTGCTCACTTCTGCACTCTTGCAGCTTTTACAGCATCTCTGGTAAGTCTGTGGAAGTTTCCATACCATGTCACAATGATAACATCCAATAGCAAACCTTCCATTCAAATACATCTATGGACATCGGTGCAAATTCCTGAAGTGCTGGAATGTAAGAAGAGCAAATAGAAAGAAGCACCATCAGTGGTGCTGCCAACAATGGACTTCAATGAAGTTAAAGTCAAGGACAAATCTTAACACAACGTGAACTGTTCACATGACCACAGCTCTATCATTTCCCTTAGTTGTGCTACTGTTAATAATACGCCTTGGGAGTCTGAAACCACATCCCACCAAGAGAAAATAAAGACAAGATGCAGGAGATCTTCTGCAGTGGGTCAGGACACTGCTAATGCTGCAGTTACTCAGCAGCTCAGAGAAGACTTGGTTTGCTGCTGTCCACCAAGCTCCGAGTTTTGTAATGCTGGTAGAAAGAGCAATTCTGGGGAGTTGGGCAGCTGATTCATTTTGAGTATTCACTTCAAGTAATTAAAAAAAACACCCACAAAGCAACAAATCTACACTAGTGATACAAATGCTGAACGTGAACTACTTGGCAGCACCTCCTAAGAGAGGGGGAACCTGCCCTATAGAACACCTGCCCAGCTCGGTGAGCACAGAGCATGCTGTACATCTGCTGTTCCACTGCAGTCAAAGGGAATGAACACCTGAACAGACAATGCCTGGGGCATGCACAGGGTGAGGGGATACAAATGCTCTGCCAAGGGCAAAGAGGGTGAACAAGCATACACTACAGGCAATAAATAACCTCGCCAAAGCAGCAGACAAAGTTCTTCCCATACTGAAAGCATGAGTTCAAACTCCTGGATTCCAAAACTCTGCACCTGCCCTAACTGCTAGCATTACTGCAGCTGGATCAGACAGCCACAGCAGCACGAGCTCATTAAGTGTTTTATATTTGGGCTACGTACATTATATTGCTTTAATCCCATCATCAATAATTACGCTCCCCTCCAGAAAACCCTTCATTTCCCTTATAATTTCCCTTGACTTCTATCAGAATGGCAGAAGGAGGCAGCTGGCAACAAAAGTCAGCATCAGCACGCAGGGCTGTAGAGTAAGCAGGACCAGGGCTCACACCAGCCAGGATCCCTTCCCACTGCCACCTCAGGCATAACTCACAGCACAGAACTCCTTCATCATGATACCATACAGAACAACAGCTCCATTCTGTCTCATCTCACACTGTATCTTCAGCATCAGAGGGCACATAAAGATCCTTCTGAGCAACAGTACCTCAACCACGATGAAGAAAATGTCATTTCTTAAATAAAACTGTAGAGGAGAAAAACAAATAAATCTATGAAGACCTGTTCCAAACCTACCATGTGCTTCTGCACACTCTACAGCTGCAGTAACTTACCTGCATGACTTCTACAAAAGCAAAGACAAAACCACTTAGCTCTTCCACCAAGATCACTTTAAACTTTCCATGTTTATGTCAGCACTGGTTTTTAAGCTCTGTTAAACACCTGGAAAAGGAAAGTTGTACATCTGTTTGTATGTGTACTTAAAGCACTTCACAAGCTGCTGAGTTCCCCAACAGCTGCTTCTATTACACGAATGACTTCACCATCTGCAAAACTATTGGATAAACTACAGTAAGTAAATATCAGGATAGCAGGTGCTAATAAATAATGAGAGCTGCCAGGACAACACAGTTCTGTAAGGAAAAGGTCTGTGAACATCATTTTCACCACAGCTCCCAACACAGCTACTTAATTCCAAAAGCTTGGCCATGTATCCCACACCCAGCCAACAACAGGTATTCATTTGACCCCACATCAAAACAAAGCTTTTCATCTCAAGAAATAACTACTGCAACAGTTTGGCAGCACTGTTATCTAAAGGGCTTTGCGTGGACCAGGGTATGTGGAAGGCTACTGTTAGAACTGGCCAAGGCTGTTCCTTCCAAAGCAGACATACTGATACAGATACCAAAAAAATACCTCAGCTTTTATCCAAGCAGACTTGGATGAGGATGTTGACTATCCTATGACTGAGGATAACTTTGCAAATGCTGATTTAACTTATTTTTTTTTGAGATGCTCACTGTTTCAGTTCTCTAAGTGTTCTTTCAGCTTTCAGTAAAATAAATAATTAAAAAAGAATGCAGCAAAGTCTTTTTTTTTTCCCCAAAAAAGGCACACAGTACTTTGATACACCAAAAATCATTCACCGCTCAGCTATTTTTACTGACCTTCCTTATTACAAGCTGCTTTACTACCACACTCCCACACTTTAAGAATAAACAAGATGCACTGAAACACACAGTAGGAAGTGTGCATGTGCTCGTTTCCCCTTTGTTTCATGGATGTCTTTAAGGAATTGCACCATAGCCCCGAAACTCTACTCCATCTATCCTTCCCTGGCAGCTGTACAGCTACTCATGTCATAGGCAATGCGTGAACAGTCAGAGAGAGGAAAATGCCCTTATCTCAGCTCATCAAAAATACAAGCAAGCAAGCCACAGAGGGTCACAAATTAAAAATTAAATGCGTATTGACACAACACCGCACCTAAATTCTCCCTGCCAAGCAAAGGAAAACATCAGGCTCAAGTAATAACAACAAAAGGTGGTCAAAAGAGGCAATGCAATATCACTTATTCAAGAAGTGTTTTTAACAATTAAAAACTAAGCAGCAACCAACACAAGCACCACGACAGCCCCCAGTGCTAACGGCAGTATCCTGCTGTTAATACCTCCAACACAGGTAACACATCTGCTGTCAGGAACAAAGGCAACCTCCTCCTGTCTGCTGGTTACTACACACCTTAGAAAAGAAGCTAGTAAAATTCAGAATAACTATTAGGACAAAAGCACTGAAATACAACTTCAGCAGTCTGTTTTAGTTTTGTTATAGAACTAAAATAAAAGATAAATGAAAAGGTAGAATCAGCCTCCCAAGGAGGCTGTGGATGCCCCATCCCTGCAGGCATTCAAAGCCAGGCTGGATGTGGCTCTGGGCAGCCTGGGCTGCTGGTTGGCGGCTCTGCACACAGCAGGGGGTTGAAACTACATGATCTTCAAGGTCCTTTTCGACCCAGGCCATTCTATGACTCTAAAAGATACTGGTTTTCTCCTGGAACATTTAAAGGCACATGTGAGTGCACAGGATGCTAACACCTTTTGCTCTCTAACATCAGAAGCCAGTATTATTAAAAAAAAAAAACAACAACAAAACTTTCCAAATCTCTGTAACACTCTTAATAAAAAACTCCGTTAGAATGACTCTACCAAAATTTTAATGATACCCTGAAGAAGTAACTTCACTGCATTATAAGTTTTCAAGCATAAATGTGAAGTGGTTTTGCCTGAAAGTAGCAAAATAATTCTTTCTTCTTCAGAGCCAACAATTGGTTTGAGTAACAGCAAGAAAACCAAGCAAACAGGATGCTTTTCTCAACCATTAAAACTGCATTTTCCTGCCCCCTATTTGCCAACCAAGCCAAATTTCTTCAGATGTTGAATTCTACTGATTGTGGCAGACATTAGCACACGTTTGCATTCTGAAGAGCAACCATACAGATATATTGTGGTATTCAAACAAACACTTCTACAGAACTGTCTTAAACCTGACTAACATTAATCAGCTGGCTCAGCTGATAGCAAGGATTTGCCTACCAAGCTCTCGTGCAGTCAGAAAGCCTTCCTTGCTCATGTACTGCAATAAATAATTTAGAGTTGTTTCTTTTTAATGCCCCTGCTATTTTCAGATTTATTATTCTTGCTTCCTTCTGCTGTCTGGTATGCAGTTAAGAGCTACAGCTCTGGAATCTCTCACAAGTAGCAACTGACAGGAATGAATCCATCTCTTACATTTTGTAGCAGATCAATAATACTTCAAAAAGATTTTTAAGGAGAATCTTAAGTACTAATTAGTTTCATCCCTTCTATAAAAAGTAATGTACAGATTGAAAAAAATTAGGATGGGAACAGGCAACCTGAAGCATAATGATGCTCAGACAGGGATTAATATTATTGCAATAATGCAATGTTTACTTATCCAATAAAATCAGATGTCAGAAAAGGGATATTTTCGACCAACCATGGGAACAATATGTTCAGAACAAATATATCTATCCAGTTTCTGTCCCTAGACACATTCAGCAAACAGTGTTATTCAATTATTCTCACCAGAAGAAAGTTTCTTTCAACAATTCATTTTTAAAAGCACAAAGGATGTTATTACCTTAAAAATATACTCAAATCCAGAATTTCTTATGAAGTCAAGTGCACATAGTGTTAACGACAGCAAATAGTATAGAAAGCCACCAGTATAGTATAATAGTAGAGAAAGTCATCATCACTTCTGATGATGACAATTTCCCTCCCAGTTTCCTTTATTGAGGTAAGCTTGGTAAGGGATCAACTCAACATTCTCTGCTACAATGTTTACTGACAATCAATTAAGACAACACTAAACAGCTAACTTGGAAACTATTTCTCAGCTTGGGAATTTAACACAACTCTTAGAAAAACAAGGGCCCAACCTTGATGTTGTAGACAAGTCCCCTTAACTGCAACACAATTTTTACCCTTGAAAGTACATCCGGGTACACATTGTGCTGACCAAGTTCATACTTAGATACTGAGAGGTCTAATGCATCACAGATCACTCATTCCAGAGGAATATACAAGTAAATTACACTGATGTATTCCGTTACCTTATTTGACCATTTGTAGGCTTGAAGAAGTTGGCTGTAAAGAGGCGTTTTGTCCTGAACAGGATCCAGGCTCAGCAGCCCGCTGTTGTGCAAGGGATGGTTCTCAGATGGTTTACCAACCAGATTGCTCAGACGCTCCAGCTCACTGAAACACACAGGAGGTTTTTTTAAGTCAGATTTGGAGATACACACAGCTGAGTTGCGCAGTCCTCCTACAGAGACAGCAACCCCGTTTAAACTCTATTTTAATACCCACGAGTGTTTTAAATACTTGCCCAGTTTGATTAAAGAAACGTAATCACGGCCAAGCAGCTCAGAGCGGTCTGTTAGTCATAAAGCACACAGCTCTTCAGTAGAGAAAGTACAAACCAGGAGTCTGTAAGGCAGCCTGGAAAGAGCCAAACTACGGCACAACCTGCCTGCAAACACTTCCACCACCCAAGCCATTTTCTGAGCAAAGCACCCTCAGAAGCTAGAGAACTGCAAGTTGAAGCACCACTGCAATACTGTAAGTCATCACAGAATTAACAAGCAGGCAGATGCCCTATTATTTCAATAAAGCACTAGAAATTAATATTGTCCTCATGTAAAGACGCAGAACTGGTCCTAACCCTGGACATGGTCCTGCAAAGTTTGTGGTTGCTCTAATCAAACAGATGCATTCCAACCTCTCAGGGCAAGGAAGCATCTTTTGTTTCTCATGAGCAACAAGTACACCTGGAGAAGTGCATAAAACACTCAGCTAAGTATAAGCAGCATTTTTCCATTGGGAAATAAAAGCTCACTGCGAAAATGATCTATTATTACTTCATACCTCATTTGTCAAACACTACGTTTAATAATCACAAGAGTTAAGCATCTTTTCAAGTTTGCATTAATCAGCTGTAGAAGAAAGACTGGCTGCTTTGCCCAGATATAAAGTGCAGTTTTTTCTGAGACATAACTAATCAAATGCCTTTCCCCCTGACTTGTGAACTTAAATCCTACTATGATTGAACTCTAGAACTTCCACTAAATCAAGAGCAGGACTCAGCTCCTTACAAAAGGGTGATTTATGAAAATCTCAGTGAAAAAAAAGTCCCAAATATCTCAGTTTGCATTTAATGAAATTAATAAAAAATGAACACCAGTGATTGGGAACTAAGTAAATTTCCCTACCACAAAAGTCTTCTTAATTAATCATCATTTCCTAAAGTATCCATGGCCTGTATTCTTTCCAAGTCTCTTGTGTTGGGAACACTTATATATATGCTTAATATTTCTTGATGCAGGTACACAGTAAAATAAATGTGAATAAACAAAATAATCATAGAATGGCCTGGGTTGAAAAGGACCACAATGCTCATCTAGATTCAATCCTCTGCTCAGTGCAGGTCGCCAAACAGCAGAACAGGCTGCCCAGAGCCACATCCAGCCTGGCCTTGAATGCCTCCAGGGCTGGGGCATCCAATGATCAATAAATTCATTAATGTTGTGGAAAAGAGGGGTGAAAAAGGAACTTCACGATGAAGCTACTCTCATAACAGGTGTTAGGACAAGGACTAATTGCAAAGAGATGCTGAACGACTGCACAGCATTGAAACACTAGATGAGAAACTGCAATGTAAAGAAGTGTAACAGAGCACATGTGAAAATACAGGTCAGAACCTGTTGCTATCCATTGTGTTTGGAAGCAAGATGGTGCAGTTAGACTAGTCAGTTCTTCAAAAAGCTACTGATAAAGACAAGAAGGACAACCAAAGGGAAGGCACAACTTCCATGCTGGGAACGATGAGGCCTCTTCTAGCAAGACAAGGGGAAATGGTTTGAAATTGAGGAATGGAAGATTTAGGTTGGACGTCAGGGGAAAATTCTTTACAGGGAGAGTGCTGGAACAGCTGCCCACAGAGGTTGTGGATGCCCTGTCCCCGGAGGTGTTCAAAGCCAGGTTGGACAGCTCTGGGCAGCCTGTCTAGTATTAAAAGTGGAGGTTGGTAGCCCTGGCAGAGGGGTTGGAGATTCACGATCCTTGAGGTCCCTTCCAACCCTGGCCATTCTGTGATTCTTCAACTAAAAAACTTCAACTAAACTTCAACTAAAAAACAATAAAACCAAAGGGATACAACAGGAGCCCATTAAGTTGTGAGCAACATCATTCATAAACAAGATTAATGGCGTTCTTTCCTAATTGAAGGGAATAGGTAGGCAACAGGTGACATTCACTGAGCACTGATGGGCACACTGCAGCCCTGAGCCCTTAGGGGGCTGCACAGCCCAGCCGTTCCCACCAACGCTTCTGAAACGTATCAGCCTCCACTGCACAGCCACGGCTCTGTATGTTAACCTCCCAGCTTTCGGTACAGCTTTACATCACCTGGATGCTACGATTACTCACAGCCAAAGAAATGCCCACTTCTAGTTTTAACACAAACCTCGAGAAAATAGAAGAAAATCTCCCCACCCTCCACCCCGCACACCTGGGCACGGCGCCTCGCAGCCACCTCGCTTTGCCTACGACACAAACCACCACGAGCAGCACTCCTCCCTTCGGAGCGAAGCACCCAGGAGAGGCACCGCTGGCTCTTATGAACAGCCAAAAACTCGCCCCGCCCGCACAGCCGCCCGGCCCAGCCGCGCTGCCACGCGCCGCTCACCCCAAGTCCCGGCTGACGGAGTGCAGGCTCTCCTGGAAGGCGGCCACGAAGCCCTTCTCTCGGCCTTCCAAGGTCTCTTTGTTCCGCATCCCATCCTTCAGGCAGTCGAAGACCCGCGTCACGCTGGAACGCAGAGCCTGGATGGCGGCGATGGCTTGGGAGAAGGCCTCCAGGTTCACCCCGGGGCTCAGCACCCCGTCCGCCATCTTGGCCCGCCCGGCTCCCTCCCTGCGGCGGCCGGCGGCGGCGCGGGGCACGCTGGGAAATGTAGTCCCGCAGCGGCGGTGCGGGGCACGCTGGGAAATGCTCCCTGTCCCGGGCCGGGGTCGCTTCCTGAGCCTTTTTGTATCGCCCGTTCGAAACAAACAGCTGAGGAAACGTCTGCCTGGTGCTGGGCGGTAGCCGGGGCGAAAGACGTGAATGCTGGTGTGCGCATCTCTGAAATACCCGTCTTCTTCCTCAGAATGCTCGTTTTTCCGTCCCGATTGCTCTCTTTCCATCTGTTTCCCCAGTTCTCTGCTAGCAGCATCCTAGCTACCTCAGGTGCTGGGGGTCATTGTCCTCCGTTCGACATTCTGAATGGATTTCTGCAGGCACAGAGACAGAAATAAAAGCACTTAAAATCACAGAACGGCCTGGATTGGAAAGGAGCACAATGCTCATCCAGTTCCAACCCCCTGCTGTGTGCAGGTCACCAACCAGCAGCCCAGGCTGCCCAGAGCCACATCCAGCCTGGCCTTGAATGCCTGCAGGGATGGGGCATCCACAGCCTCCTTGGGCAACCTGTGCCAGTGCCTCACCACCCTCTGCATGAAAAACTTCCTCCTGATATCCAACCTAAACCTCCTGTCTCAGTTTAAAACCATTCCCCCTTGTCCTGTCACTGCCCTGTCCTGCAGCTGCAGGCTGGCAGGGCTGCCTCTGTCTGCCCTACACCCATGAACAGGTGCTCTTCAGCCAACAGGGTGAGGACCTAGCCTTAATTATCTGATGTTTGCAAAGGCCTGTGGGATTTGGAAGTGCGAGCACTGTGCTAATAAGCACTGCTGGTTTGATTTTATGGCAGCTTCTGATGCAGCCACCAGCCCTTGGCTGAGATTGGTGTTTTCGCAGTTTCTAGAATAAATAACAACCTCTCCCATACAGGTATTAATTAAATTCGGCAAGCAGAATTCGCACAGATTCTTTACTCAGAGATGTTTTGTGTTTTTTTTTTTTTAATATGTAAAATGGAAATGAGGCTGCCAAGGAACAGCAGAGGTGTCAGTGGCCAAGTGAAGCGAGGCTTTGCTCTCTGCTCAGTGACACTTTCCTGTCTATCATCCCATGGATTCTGAAAATTGCATCTGATCAATTAGATGTTCCCAGACTACATGCAAGTTACTGACCAGTGAAACCCTATTACTTTGCATAAAAATCAGGCAAATGAAATGGGTATGCTCCTTCAGCTCTGATCTAAATAATGCTCTCCTATCTCAGCACAGAGGTAAAGCAGGACTGGAAGCAATATGGTCTGAAGCAATACAGCTCAGCCCACATAAGCAGTGGAATGTATAGTGCTGTACTGCAGAGAATCAGCAATGGATTGAGTCTATGTCTCCTTTCAGAAACAAGGAGTCAAGTTCTCTAGCCAAAACTCCCTTTCCCTCTTATTTCTCCTCATTTGCCACCAATAAAAGCAGAAGTCTGCATAGTTTGGCATGCTTGTTTTTAGGGCATGCCTTGCCTAAACTGCACACTGCTTCTTTTCCCCCCAGAAAATATTCCTTGTGTGCCATCTTGCCCCTACCAATACAGTAATTCCATCTTCACTACAGCTATATCCAAAGCTGGCATTACAAAATGCCAGGGTATCTCCTTTTGCCTTAATATCACTAGTTACACATAAAACAAAAATCCAACTGGTGTTCAAAATGTGCACTGCTCCTTCCTATCTGACAGCTGTTGAGTGGGCACCTGCAAAATGGTGTGGGCAGCCTAGGATACATACCCACATCTGAAAAGCATCAGAACTGACATTCTTCAAAGCCTTCAGCAGTAGTTTCAGGACCTGGTGATCTCCCTTCAAATGAACAAAACAAAACAAAACACACATGGGCTAAATCCACACTGGGGTGTAGAGATGCAACCAGCAGCTGCAGGCATGGAGCAGCCTGCTCTGTTATTTCAGCATTCTGACCAGCCTAATGCACGCTGCCTCTCAGCACTGCTCATCAGCTTTGGCAGACTGCTATGCCAACATGATTACACTGCAGCTAGCCCAGTTATCTCCACACACTGCTGCTCTGTGCCATGTGGACAGACTAAGAGATGGGGTGGAGCGGGCTGCAGCGTTCTGCCAGTTCTGGATGTGTTTTGTGGCTAGAGACAGAACTGAATGCTGGGTGCTGCCTGTCTGATAGCGTTTGTAAGCTCTGAACTCACGTGGAGAGGTGTGAGGTGGTAGAGGAAAAGAGGTAACAATCCACAGCAGCACTGAATGCAGCTGGACAAGTAAAGCACGCTTCTCTCAAGAAGCAAAAACTTATCTGGGGAAGATGTAATTATGTCACAGAGTTGACCATGACAAATTAAGACAAACCTTTCACACCAAAGTACATTATGGTACTCATATGGCAGCTACTAGGAATTAAGTGGGCTGTGATTAATCAGCAACACCAAAGAATTGGGATGCTTTCTAAATCCTTTCAGAAGCACTGAAAGTCATTTGTTAGGGAAGAAAGGGCCCAATTAGAAAAGCATTCCCATTTAAAAAGAAATAATTTAGTTGCCAGGAGAGAAAACTAATGATCACTACTGAGTTTCATAGCAAGTGCAGGTAGCCTCCCTTTAATGCCTGGACAAGACAAACATTGCAGTAAATATTGCAATGTACGTAATAAATCACACTGTAGGAAACGATCTTCATCTTCCTCTGAAATAGATAAATGCTGATCTTCATTCCATGGCAGTCTGGACTGATACCCACCAGCAGGTCCCCTCCATTTCTTCATGCTTCATCACTACAATCTTGACAGTCTTTCAGATAAATGCAATAAACGGATATGGGGTTTTTGTTCAAATCATTGTCAGGTTCAATAACACCGTTAGCCAAATATTCTCGCAATTTTGCCATCCATTTCTTTCAGGATTTCAGTCTTGTTTGCCACAGATCATACTACACAATGCAGTCTCGAAGCAGACAAGCTGTGGGTTTATGAACCCAGGCCTGGGGCTTCCTCCTGGAGAAAAGAATGCATCCTACCTGTTTCTAGACTGTGTGGGAATGGCTAAGATACTTCCAGATGTGGAGAAGCCTTCATCCTCAGTGCCATTTCTTATTGCTCCCTGAATCAGAATCTTCCACTATAGCCAAGAGCAGCGAGTGAAAACCTTCTGCCAGAACAAAGAGTGAAACAGCAAGCAGAGCTGACAATAATGTGGTTATCATCACTTTTCCTGTGGGGTGATTGGAGTAACTCAGAACTGTTTCAGCTCTCAGGAGGCGTAGCTCTTATTAGAAATGATCTTCCCTCCCAACACAGTGTATGGAGAGCACACCTGGAGACTTCCAGTCTCCTTAGGGGTCACTGCAAGAATGGGAATCACACTTTGGGGGTTGCTGATCAGCTCCTCGACCAGTACCTTCTCTCCATTTGTGGTTATAGAGTGCCCACATCACACACACCAGCACACAGCGGATTTGTCAGCAGAGCTGCTGAGGACTGGATGGATGATGACTCTCAATTTCCCTTTTGTCTGATGAAACCAGCACCCTTGATATCAGTTTTAAGGTGATTCAGAGATTTGCTGCTCTTCTGTGCTGTGTCTGGAGTTTCAGCCTCCAGGGAAGTCAACCCAGCACCTTATCCCAGCACTGAATTTGCATGAGGAGCGTAAAGCTAAACACAAAAAGTAAACCGTATCCAGCAGAACTCATGATGTATTTTATGCATGTAGAAAATCCGTCCCAAAATATGTCACATTTTACTTGCAAAAATAAAAAGCTGCTGTTTTATTCTGCAGAGGAATATACTCAGCCTCTTCTTCAAGCATTCAGTGATCAAGTGTGGAGTCTGATGTAAAACCAAATGGGAAGAACCTATCATTATTTAAAGGCTACGTAACTGCTTAAAATTAGAGCTGTGAAGGCATCGAAAAATACCAGAAATCACAGATGGTTTGCAGATAAATTCACATTGCATTTAGTCCACTCAACATCTAAAAAAAAACCCCATGCTTTTGCCTTGCTGTTCAGTCTGACTGTTCATGCTTGCTCAAAACATACTTCTGTCTTTAAATTGGGCTTTGAGTCATGTTCTGTTGCCCTATACATTCAGATCCCAGTCACTTCAGAAATCTGCACATGTATTTTTAAATGATGCAGTTAAAATTTAATCTATTTTGCACATTTTCAAAACGACAACTATCCAAAGCAGGTTAAATAAGGCATCAGCAGGGACAAAAGAGCAGCAAAAACAGCCACGTAGCTCTGCATTATGCAAGTGTCTGAGACACAATGACCCAATTGCTGCTTCTTGCTCTCATTGATGATTCTGCAGTGTTAGAATTGGTCAAACTTGTCTTCTGTACCTGAGGTCTGCAGGATAAGGCTTTTACATCATTCTGGGATAGTCCTTAATTCTGTGAATTGTCTGGTTTCATCCCATTTGCATTTTTTTTCTTTAATTATTATTGCTGGGCTGTATTTTTGAATATTCTATCTTATCCCTCAGGATTTCTATCTGACACTGTTTCACTCCGCTTCCCTTGTCATAGGGGGTCAGTATTTGGCACAGTCATTCTAGCTTCACTGCCCAGCAAGGGTCAGCAGAATTTGGATATGATGCTTTAATCCCACCTTACGAGTTCCCTGCATAACCCTGGAGATAGGGTTTTACAGCAGGGAAGGAGAAGCTTGAAATATGGTGGTTATTCCATACTTGGTTGGGCACATTCACTCCATGTAGCACGTCTTTGAAGAGGTGCATCCATGCGTCTGCTCCCATGGTGGTATGATGGAGCCCATCACACAATATATGGTCATTCTTGGCAGGACCAAGCTCTAACATACAACTGAGACAAGCAGAGGTTAGTTTCCCCCCAGTCTCTTGAAGAAAAAGAAAAAAGACAAAAACCCAACGTGGTACTGAATGGGAACTGCTGAGCCACGGCCTGAACCTCTGATTGATCACCTGAGGCGAGCACTGAGTCAGCCAGAGGAGCACAGGGGAAGGCAATTCACTGTGCTGCTGGAAGGGGTGCAGCCTG